AGAAGTCCACTATCACTCCTCCTAAACTTCTCCATCAATATCTATGGCTATGATTGCATTTCTCCATAGATAGACGAAGACATCCTCTGTGTCCCCATGCTATAATTCACCAAACTAAAAATGTAAATCGTGGGACTAAGCATTACGCAAACATTTCAAATATCACCAAACACCCATCCTTGGTCAATGCCTGTGGAAATCATTCGTTCAAGACGTGTGTTTGGATGAAAAATTTTATAGATTCAAGGAATTTTAAATTTTTGGTACTTGAATTACTTTGATTTCAATTTCTATCATTCTTAAAATATTTTGTTTGGATAAGCCAATTTGAAATTTCTTAAATTTTAAGTTATTAGGTTGGATATGATAATTTGATTTCACCATGATAAAATTGATTTTAAAAATTATATGTTGAGATTTTTAAATTAAATTTTATAAAAATAAATATTAGTTAATTTTTAAATATTTAATAATTTACAAAATTAATATTAGATAATATTTAATAATTTTAAAAATATTTTTGAATATTCAATAAATCAAAACATGAAGAGATAAGAGATAAGATAAAATATATAAGTGAAATAAGAAGAAAAAATATGAAGAATTTCAAATTCTTACTTTTTTAGGAGAATTTGAAATTCTACTATTTCAAGGAATTTCACAAATGCTTGAGTTTCAAATTCTTTAAAAATTCTCCATCCAAATAAGGTATTTAACCTCAAAGAATTTGAAAATTTTCAAATAAATGAATTACTTCATTTAAATTTCCCATTCAAACACATTATTAATGAATTTCGATAGCTCGAACGATTAGTAATTACTTATTAGTCTAAAACAAGAATTAACTTCCATTTTATTTTTTTTGACGTCGAATCTTTGTTAAAAAAGAAAGTTTTATATCAACCATGATACACTTTGTTGATAAAAAGAAAGTTAATTAATTTTTTTATTTTTATTTTTATAGTTTTAACAAATATATGTCAAAAAGAATGTATTAAAATGTCTATACTCTTTTTAACTAATTGTCAAATGTATGGTAAAAAGAATGTATTAAAAAAGCTTATACCTTTTTCACTAATTGTTTATTAGAGAAATGATTCCTCCTCTCAAACTTAACATCTGAATTTTTTTTTAAAGTTTAAAATTTCAAAATATTAAAATTAAATTTTTTTTATACATATAAATCATAATTTTCTGAAAGTTCAAAATTTTAAAATATTAAAATTAAAAATATATTTTATCTGAAATTATGGACAAATATAAACCATTGGCCGGAAGATGATTTAGAGAATATAACATTTTTCCCTTGGTATTATAGAGAAGTAAGATTCCAATTTGCAAGCTCATCTTGGTTCCAATTCCTTTGCAAATATAATAACCATAGTTGTTACCACAGCTTGGCTCACAATTCAATGGAGAAACCTCACATAGCAGTAGTTCCCAGTGCGGGCTTCACCCATCTGGTCCCAATTCTCGAGTTCTCCAAACGACTTCTTCATCTCCACCCAGAATTTCACATCACATGCTTCATTCCCTCAGTTGGATCAACCCCACCTTCCTCCAAAGCTTACCTTCAAAGCCTTCCACCAACCATAACTTCCATTTTCCTTCCCCCCATAACCCTTGACCATTTGCCAGATACCACTACCCTTGCACTCCAAATTGAATCCTCGGTGGATCTCTCTCTACCCCACATAAGGCATGAATTGAAGTCCCTATGTTCAAGAGCCAAGGTTGTAGCTTTGGTTGTGGATGTTTTTGCAAATGGAGCATTGGAGATAGGTAGGGAACTCAACCTCTTTTCTTACATGTACCTCCCACAATCTGCTATGATGCTTTCTTTGTACTTCTACACATCAAAACTAGATGAGATACTTTTTTCTGAGTCTAGAGACCCACAAGAGCCTATAAAGATTCCTGGTTGTGTTCCTATTCCTAGCAGAGATCTCCCTATCACTTTTCAACATCTATCTAGCATAGGTTACAAGGGGTTTCTTGAGCGTGCCAAAAGATTTGATGTTGCTGATGGTATCTTTATGAATACCTTCTTAGAATTGGAATCAGAGGCAATAAGAACTTTGCAAGAAGAGGACAAAGGGAAGCCTAAGGTGTATCCTGTTGGACCCATTATTCAGATGGGGTCAATTGGTCATGAAGATGGGGTGGCGTGTTTAACATGGTTGGATAAGCAAGAACCAAAATCTGTTTTGTATGTGTCCTTTGGAAGTGGTGGCACACTTTCTCAAGACCAAGTCAATGAACTAGCCTTTGGGTTGGAAATGAGTGGTCAAAAATTTCTTTGGGTTATGAGAGCCCCTAGCAGTGTGGCAAGTTCTGCTTACCTTGGTGCTGAAGCTAATGATCCTCTAAACTTTTTGCCCCATGGTTTCTTGGAGAGAACCAAGAAGCAAGGGTTGGTTGTGCCTAATTGGGCCCCTCAGATTGAAGTTCTTGGTCATGGTTCAACTGGGGGGTTCGTATCTCACTGTGGTTGGAACTCGGTGCTTGAAAGTGTTGTGAAGGGGGTGCCAGTGATAGCATGGCCACTCTTTGCTGAGCAGAGCCTTAATGCAGTGATGCTAACTGATGATGTGAATGTGGCACTAAGACCAAAAGTTAATGAAAGTGGATTGGTTGAAAGAGAAGAAATTGCTAGAGTTGTAAGAGGGTTGATGGAAGATAATGAAGGCATGGAGATTCGGAAGAGAATGGAACAATTGAAGATTGCTGCTTCTAATGCAATAAAAGAAGATGGTTCATCTACAAAGACTCTGTCAGAGGTGGCCACGAGTTTAAGAGGCTTCAATCTTCAAATTTAGAATAGCCCACACCTCCTTTAGGAATGATCTTCTAGAGTTAGAGTTGGTATGGGGTGGATTTAATAATTATTTTTATTTTATCTTTTTAATATGAGTAATCTTTTTCATTGAAGGTTGTAGACTTTATAAGAGAAACTCCTTTTAGTAGGTATTTTCCTTCACTATTTGTCATCTTAGGATCTTTTCCTTTGACATTATTAGGTGTTCAATCCGATCAAAGGTTGAGCTCTAATACCAACTATGAAGAAAAGAGAAATATTAACAAGGGGTTGAATAGTGTAACTAAAATATTCTCACTTTTTGTCGAGCAATAAAGTAGTAACGTAACAAAAAGAGGGTAGAAGAAGTAAAGAATGAACTCAGAGATTTATATTGGTTCATCTCAACCACCAAGACTATGTCCAATTCTTGATCCAACTAGATCAAATTAAACTATCTTATCAAAGATAAAAGTATTCTTTTCCAAGTTACTTCTGACTTAACTCTAAGTATTCTTTGAATTGTCTCTTCAATCAATCTACCCGAGAATTATTTTTACACAAAGTCTCTCTAGGCTCCAACACCAAGTATTTTTTTTATAGTCAAGTTTCTCCAGCCTCAAACAACTAATATTTTTTTACAATCAAGTCTTTCCAAGCTCAAACCCAATAACTTAAAGTTACAAAGGCTTACAAAGTTGTTTCGTTTTCCTTGCAAGACATGATACAACAGGTTAATACAAAGATGATTATAGAAAGAGTAAAGAAATAAAATTTCATTCTAGATTGTTGTCCCTTTTCTTTTTGAACTTGAAAACTTACTTATATAAGGCTTCAGTGAAAATGATCGTTGTAAATCCTAGAGTTTCTCTCTCATGCCTTACATCATCTGTCTTCACGATTTTCTTCTTGAGAATAAAAGTATCTGTTGATGTAATAAATGCTTGAATTAAATGCTTTCACCAAATTGTCACTGCTTATTTGATCAAGGAAACTACTTATCACCTTTTGACACTAAGTAGGTAGAACCATGCGAGTGCCAGGACATTATAGTGATTAAATTCGATATGTTAAGAAAATATTCAAACATATATAGTTTATTGTTTAGAGATCGTAAATAAAATGATTTAATGCATATATCTTTTTATGTCTAAGGGTTTGTCTTATTTATTAACATAATTGTCTTAATAAGTTTATCATTTTATACGAGATTTTTCTTACTAATAAAGTATGTCTTAGTGGAAGACTTATCATAGTCATTTCAAAAACTTTATACTATTGATCAAAAGTCTCTATATTTGTTAACAACAAAATTTAAAGCCAAAGGGATCTAAGATTGTCTTTTAACCTAACATTCTCCCCTCTTTTAATGGTGACGAACACTTATTTTTGAAATAAAGGTTTTGATATAAAAGCTCGAGAGACTAAATTTTTCTTTTAAAATCAATAGAAAAATATTGGAAATAAGACAAAGTAGTTCCTTTTTACTAAAATCTTAATAATAGAAAAATCCATTTTTCTAAAGATCATTTCGAGCAACGCTAAATGAAATTAAAGTAAAAATTAGTATTTTTTTATAGAAAAAGAGTTTGTTTATAAAATATTTTTATTAGAGCTTTTTGTTGAGATAGACAAAATCGTATGAGATGCATATCATATCAAAACATTAGAGATTGTACAATTAAATCAAGTCATACTCAAAAAAGATGTATAATACAACATACATTATAGAGCGAATCATAAAGTATGTATATAAAAGTAGCAATTTATATCAAAGCATAACATATCTAATATGTATCAGGGCATTCATGATTATGAGAGCAAGAAATATATATAACTATCAAAGCAAAATGAGAGATTTAGTGAAAATAAATCCCTTTGAGAATATGCATAATGAAAGAAAATATGATTAAAGCATAAAAGTATGAATTGTGCATAGTAATTACTGTCAAATGAACCAATAACTTTTAAAAACCTTATAAGATAAGAATTGTGCATAGTAATTACTACCAAACAAACCAATAACTAATCAAAATCTTAAAAGACGAGAATTTCAAAAATTGTAAAGTTATTCCCCCTTTTGACACCAGCAAAAACTAGGTCAAAGACTACTCATCTTCGTCTATGGCATTTTCCATATTTAGTTTCGTAAGCAGCTTCTAGAACTTGCATGCAAAGCATGCTTGCCATTTGAATGAAGTGCATAGACTTAAGACAAGGAAACCAATAATGAGAGTTAAAGCATTCTTATAATCATGTTATGAGGCTTTGAGAGCTACTTTAGGAGCAAGAGGATCAAGATATGGGGAACTTTTAGGGAAATTATAAAAGAAAAGAATATCTATAGGTAAACGAATAAAAAATTGAAAATTAAAAAAGGTGTCATAATTAAACTTTCGACAAGGGTTGTAAAGAACATTGTTGTCAAAGGGTAAAGTGGTCGGAGGAGATGAAGTTTATTAAAGAGAGATTTCCAGGGATAATCTTTATCAGTGTTGGAGACCTTAGATTGAAGATGTCGAGTAAATCGCATGTGCTTCACATCCTAAAGTTAGGCAACCTTCTTCTCATTCCCTTTGTAGACAGAATGTTGCATAACCATGATGTTATAGTGAACGATGAAGAATTTGGTTCAAGGTTGGATTATGCATAGTCTTCTTTTCCCACCAATCATGTGAGGAAGATTATGAGGGGTTCCTTTATAACTTAACCCTAAAGCAACCCAAAAATGACATTTTTCTTCAAGCTCATGGGCTACTAATTGATGAGCCACCAAGTCTTAACATCCAGATAATGCTAACCATACAAATCAAAGGGGAGGACTTTAGCGAAGGTGCATGTTTAAGGATGGATGGTGATAGGTTTCTCATCCTTGTAGTACATTTGTAGGTACTTTGTCATGTTGTGGTAGGGAGACTGCCTTGTATAGTCATACACAAGGGGTTCCAATTACTCTTCATTTGTTGTGACTGTTAGAAAAGAATGGCACAATCCAAGAGGGGGGGGGGTGAATTGGATTCTATGACACTTTAAAAATTTCAGAGTATTTAGGATCTTTATTTCACTTAAACTTTTCTAAGACTGAATTTTCAATGAAGTTTCTTTAAAGACTTGCTATAGAAGAATGAATTCTATATGCCTTCTTGATTACAAAATAATGAGGTTCAAAGTTAACACCAATATGTAAAGCTTTAATTCAGTTTAAACCAACAATATTCATGCACACATGCTAATCAAGAATCATCTTCTTTAATGTACAATCAAGATATTACACAAAGTAAAAGATAAGGGTAAGAAAGATTGCACAAGTCTTTTATCCTGGTTCAGCCACTCCACATGTGACCTACATCCAGTCCTCAATCAGAACCTGATCAAGATTTGTTCCACTATCTTAATGAAGAAGGTTTACAAGCATACCACACATGCATATACTCCTACATTCAAGATAACCACTTTCTTGACCTCAAGAAAGCACCCCTTGTAGAAACCCACTACAAGAATTCCTTACCACTTGAGAAACCCTCTCAAGATTTACAAGTATTCACAAAGAATTAAGGAACGAATTCACCTGGAATTCAGAAGCAAATCTTAATCTCTTCCCTTTCAAGAATGTGATGATGATGATGATCCTTTCAAAGTTTTTCACAAACGTTTTTCTTCTTGGATTCACAAAGAAAACTCTCCAAGATTGTCACAAAGACTTCACAAAAACGCTTTTCTAATTTTGATTCTCAATTCTAACTCTGTTCTGAAGTTTCAAAAAGTTCAAACTATTTATAAAAGTTTCAGAACCAGATAATCGATTATTTTAAAGAATAATCGATTATTTTGTTCTTCAGGTTTTCTGGAAACCAACCAAGAACAATATAATCGATTATTTTGCTGGATAATCGATTACTCTAGAGAGTCATTTATGGGATAATCGATTATTTCACAAATAATCGATTATTGCAGCAAGGCATCCCATTTTGCCTGTTGCTGGAATAATCGATTATATTTAATGATAATCGATTATTTTGAGTTAGTTTTCAAAACTTCATTTTAAGTCTCAAAATAACTTCTTAATCCTTTTAACTTATCATCATACACTCCCTAATCAGTTTAGATATAGATTTAACTTATGCACACAACACACACAACAAATAAACTCAATCAAACCAACTTATATTCTAATTCCTATTACATAACACTTTCTTTGACTTTGTTTTTGTCTTCTAAGTTGTTGTTGTCCTTGGTACACATTTGTTATCATCAAAACTCTTCAAGCTTCAGAGATGATCTTGTCAAGCTCAGGCTCCCTCAATCTCAACAATCTCCCCCTTTTTGATGATGAAAAACCATGACACAAACCAAGCTAGGCTTTAACCATTTTTCTTTTTCACTTATACCACTTGCAAAACCACACACACACAAGCAGAATACCTGCAAAGCAAAAACCATATACACACAAAAACCTTTCTCCCCCTTTGGCATTATCAAAAACAAATCAACCTATGTTTGCTTATAACATACAATATAAGCCATATGCATACTCCTTATGTGCTCCGAACAACACCAAAACAAATCAAAGGTATTGATCAATCATCCAAACTTTGTGAACAGAAAATTTCCAAATTGAACAAATGAGTTTCAATCACACTATGAACAAAAACATTCACTTGTCAACCAAAATCATAATGTGCAGTACATTATTATCAATTATGCTAATCAAATATAAAAAAGAACACATATATCCAAGTCCAAAAACAAAACATCAATCAACATGCTCAAGAACAGAGCATTAATGCATCAACCAACCAAATCACAATTTGGTACACAATTCAAACCAACATATCAGCAAAATAAACTTCAAATTTCATCAGAAATTTAATTGTTCAACAGATTAAAGCAAATAAATTGTTCCAGAATTAAAAATATTACAACCAAATTGAAATTAAAATCCAAAAACAGAATTTAAAAGTCCTAATTAAACTAATCAGCAAAACAGAGCACAAATCACTCTGAATCCTCAGGTATGCCTAGGTGAGTCTTGAGTCGATTCACCTCACGATCAAGATCATCAAACCTGTCAAGAATACCAGAAAACAAGGACTCATGCCTTCTAGACATGTCCATCACCGCATCAAGCTTATTTATCATGATTTGCTCAAATGGTGAGAACAGCTTAGGCTCCGCTTCTGGCT